TGCTGTAATATTTATAAAAAATATTTTGACAAAATTTTAAACAATTGTTTGGCATATATTTTTAGTACTAATTAAATTTAATAAATTAAAAGTATTTATATTAAATTTACATTTCATTAGATGAATCTACCTTAGGTTAATATATTTAGATGAAATAAAGTAATGAAACATTGCAAAGTAAATCTTATGCGGACTTCAGATTCTTGAAAGTGTAGATTTAGTCTCTTTTCATTCTAAAAGTAATGCTGATGAACTAAAAAAAAATGCTAAAACGACCACGTCTAAAAGCGGTCATATCATGACGTTTCAGCGACGTCGCCAGATTGCCAAGATGCAACGCCAAATATTTTGGGTCTTCGCAATGTCGTAAAAGTTACCACGACCACTTTGCAACCTCTCGGACCAGTTCGCAACGTCGTGTGCTACTTGGGAAAAAAAAACAGAAACCAGCACAGTGGCAAACTTCATGAAAGGTGCAAAAAATGCCAAACCCAAAAATGAAAAGGGAAAGAAATTTACAACTTTCATTGCATCACCATTATGGGGTTGGTGCAGCTAAAGAAGTAAATTTATCAGCCTCTTTCTGAAGAAACAAAGACACAAAAATTAAAGTGTATTTAAAATAATCTCAGAAAATTAATCAATGTAATTTGTGTCTTCATCATTCCAACCCACAGCACATAATTGGATTAGGTTTTAAATGAGCTGTAGCTTTTTGACTCCTCTTTTAATTTGAACATGCTCCCCTCTTCATTCTAAAAAATACACTGACTACCAATAAGTATTTGGACACCTGTGGTAGAAAAGAAAAACTAAAAATCAACAGTTGATAGAGCCTCCACGAGAGGTAATTACGGCGTGGACCCTCCGGGGCATACTTTCCACTTTGTATGACAGCTAGTGGTATTTTCTTCCACTCGGCTTGGAGAAGACATAGAAGTTCCGTCACCGATTTTGCACGGGTAATGCACCCCTGAATTCGGCGATGCAACTCGTCCCAGAGGTTCTCGATAGGGTTCATCCTAAATGTCATTTGTTTGATGTAATCATGCCTTGGTATAAAAAATCTTTGCTGTACAATCTCACTCTTTTATGTTTGTTGCCTTTCTTTTTCCCTGCTTCGCATTGCTGCTAGCCATGCAGAGTTTATTTTAAATTATTAGTCTAAGAAGATGAAAGCTGTACAAAGTTGTGGGATACTTGTCGCACCCATAAATAATGCTTATGAATCTGTTTATGTGCATCAAGACTTGCTCTATTCCAAAAAAAATTAAGTGTTCAAATTAGTGGCCACATTTGAAAGCTTTTCCTTCCCATTCTCTCATATCCACATAACTGTTTTAAATTCTCAAGCCATCTATCTAAATCATTACATATATATATTACTACAAATTCTGTATATACGTAAATAATTTCAGTGAAATTGTGGTATCTTTTGTATAACAAAATGTCTGAAGAAAGGAAGCTGTGTTGGAAAAATAATATTACAGGGGCAAGTCTATTCAACATTGAGGTAAATGGCTGTTTTGCTAAATTGGCGAGACACCACCAAGCTGCTGATGGTTTTGGCAACTCATTTTTATCGCCGAACTTGGTGAATATCTGGCAACATTTTCTGGTCCCTGTATAACTGTAATTAGTACTGCACTTTATACTGCTAATGAAAAATTCCAAAACTATCGGGTCGTAATCAAAGTTTTCCATCAAAAAACGTTCTTAATGAAGTTAGGGGAAAGAAAACACGAAAGCAGTACCTTCAGTGCGGGTAGTAATCACCATTCAAATCTATGATTTTCTACCAACGTTTTGTTAGTTTTTCAAAACCAAGAAACTTGGTGACCGCAAGTCCAAAAACAGATCACCCTCATTTCGGACGTTCTGTACTGAGTGGAAGATAGAACCAGCAAGATGTAGCTACAGGTGGGAAAAAAGGTAGAAGTCTGAAGGAGCGATGTAGTGGTTGTATGGTGGGTGTGGCAAAAGATCTCATTCAAGTCTATGCAGAGTCCAGCCTGTGAATGCAGATCATGTGGTCTTGCATTATCTTGATGGAACATTACCTTTTTGCACCAGAACTCAGTTCGATGTTTTGCATTGATAACACTGTCAACACGGACTAGCATCTTGCCGTACACCTTACTGTCAAAGGTTTTACCTTTTTCCAAATAATCTTTGTGCATAATACCAGGGCAATCGTGCCAGATGCAAAGCATGGTCTTTTTGCTAATCAAATTGCACTTTGCGGCAACTTCGATGGCTCTATGGGTGCAGATTTAATCCCCTCTTTAGCCTGTGTTGTTGAAGTAAATCCATTTTTCGTCACAATTCGTCCAGTATTTCTCATTGTGTTAATATTCAAGCAGATTAGTGCAGGCCAGAACACATCTGTCCTTATCTGCTTGAGTCAGTTCATGCGGAACCCAGTGATTGAACTTGTATGTCAAGTTTATGCAATGCATAGTGCAATTAATGGACATGACCCTGACGTCTAACTCCTTAACAAGCTCTCGAATAGTTGCATACTGATCTTCTTTAGCAAGTTCTCGCATGTGAGCCTCATCAACATCAGTAGGTCGGCCAGACCGCTCTGCTTCTTGAATGTCATAGTCCTTGTTTTCAAACTTTTGGTACTAAATCTTCAGTGTTTTGTGATGCAACATTAGTACCTTAAGCTGTAGACATGATTTGGTGACATTCTGTAGCTGACTTTTTGGAACAGAATTGGAAGTAAGTGATGGCTCTAATCTGGTAACGTGATAGTTTCATTACAGACACATACTTAATGATAACGATATGTTTTTTCATATTTCACAACACAGTGAGCAAGCCTTTTTCATTCAAATGCCAAAATCATTTGACAAAATATGATTAAACATGCCAACGTGAACTGTTTGTGCAAAAGATATTTACAGTGGCGGGAACTTTCATTAAAACCCAATAATTCACACCCCAGTAATATATTAATTTTGCTAGGTATATGAGAGGTAAGATCTGTTAGTTTAGTTTCCTTTTGGAAATCTTTTTTAGAAATACAGTCAAAAGTTGTTAATCCGGATTCGTCGGGACTTCGGCGATTCCGGATTATCGATTTTTCCGGATTATAGATCATCAGTTTAAATCCCATAAGATGGTATGCAGAAATTCTAAAATTAAAAATATGAGACCGTAATTTATGAAATAAAGAACAATTATGATCTAAAGGGTATCAAAATTTACAAAAAAAAAAAAAAAAAAAGCTTAATATTTATTTGTTTACTTTATTAAACATTTTTTTCAATGTAAGTTGTTTAAGTTGCTTCGTTTTATGTGATAATACTTTCTCTTTAATTCTATAAACAGACATAATTTCTTGTTCAGTTACAAAGTTCTGCCGTTCAAGTCCCGCAATTGCTGTGCCGAGAATACCGACTAACTTGTCAATCGAAATTTTTTCGTTTTCACTAACCTCTCTGTCACCTTCTTCATATCTTTAACCATTTTTTGCAGCAATTCCACTTTTTGTTTGATGGACGTCGAAACATACTTTCGTTTTGTAGATCCTTTGGGAGCTCCAGCATCGGAAATTCTATTTGACATAATCGAAAGTTCAAGTTTACTTTTATAACATTGCTCTTACAGTCTGCAAAAAATAATAAGCCGCATCCAATTCGAAGATTAAGGAACAACGCAATCATCAACATTAACTGAAATAGATAATTTTAGCTTATACCATCCATTAATACATTAAACACGCACACGAAAACGTATTCTGCGCTTGCACACACGCAAATGCACAGTCGTAAAGATCTTACGCGCACATGTAAACGCGGCGCATGCGCAGAAAGGTTTTAGCTTTGAGGTCCGGATTATGGGTGTCCGAATTAACGACTTTTGACTGTATCTGTTTTATTTGTAGGTGTAGGCTCTGTAATGTGAAGTAAAATAAAAAAAGGATAAAGTCCTATACTAATCACAATCCTCATTTGAGATTTTTGTGGTTGTCTTGTTTTTCACAAAATATTCGCCTCCACTGATTTCCATTATGGTTGCATTTATTTTTTGCTTATTTAGTTCCAGTGTGTCAGCAGCTTCAGTAGTTAATACAATATATTGCAGCTGCTTCCAGAGTCCAATATTCCTTTTAATTTTACTTTTTTCTCACATTTGGTTTCAATGAATAATGATACCGTACACAGCAGCCCAGTTTGTTTACCTTTGTTTGTTAAAATACACCTAACCAGGGTTGCCATGCTACCTGGAAAACTGGGAAGAGTCAGTGAATTCAAAAATTGACCAAAGAAGCCAAAGAATTTAAATATTTTGGTCAAAATCTGGAAAAGTCAAGGAATTTGTGACCCCCAAAAAAGCGATTTTCTTGCCAACATTGGAAGCGATCACTTTTTTGGCGAAGTATGTATCGCATAAGTGTCATTCGGACAGCTAGTCTACAGGCAATTTTTGCAGCGCCAATCAAAATTTCTTTTAGAAAGGCAAAGCAAGTTTCTAGCATTTCTGATTTCCAATAACCTTGAGTTGCATGTGCAGTGCATGTTGAACGAAAGTAAATTTCCCCCATTCTCGTATAAAACAAAAAATCTTTTAAGCCTTTTTTTCATTCTTAAATGCCTTACCTTCATTTTGCAGCAAAATTAAAACAAATAATAATCAATTATCTGGGTTAATTATTTAATACATATTTATATTCACCAAAATACCGTTGATTTTTGTAATTCAGTTTTTAATCCTTAAGTAATTGACTTTATTTTAATATTATTTGTATCATTTAATGTGTCTTCTTCCTTCTGAATTTATTTATTATTATTTAATAATACTTTTAAATTTCAGGCAATTTTCTGTGGCATACATGTAAACCTAATTCTAGTAGTAATATGACATACCATCACGAAATTTAGTGTACATATTTTTTACTTATGTATGCTGCTAAATATATATAAAATACTTGAATTTATGTAAAAATATCATTAAATAGATTTCTTTCTTCCTTTAGCTGCAAAATGTCTCCAAAAAGACATTTTTAAATTCTGATTGGGCAGCTTCTAATCTTAATCCTCAGGGGAGAAAACAACAACTATTATGGTGGAAAAAATTAAGAAATGGGATACATTTTCCCACATTTCTCCTGAAATACCACACAAAGTCTGGACAATTGGTTGTGATACAATGTTACTGTGGTGCTGCTGTTGCTGAGATGAGTTTACATATTCCTGTGGGCGTTGCTACGTCAGCAGGAGGTATAAAACTGCGCATCCAGCTGCTCACCTCATTCCACTTTGTAACACAGTAGTGATTGTTATGGTCTTTCTTTAATAATTTTGCTGTTTATTAGATAGAATGAGTACTTATCTAAGTCCTAAGCTCAGGTTATAACAGAACTAGATGTAACACCAAGTGTCACCTCTAATTTGTGGAATCAATTTGAAAACAGTGGGACAGTGTCCAGAAGACCAGGCCAAGGTCTCCCAATATCCACAACTAATGACGACTGGTACTTGGTACTTTCAGCCAAACGCCAGAGGCCATCTACAGCCACACAAATGTCTCATAATCATGCTACTGCCATGGGAACATCAGTTCCATAAAAGTTTTTGGTCCTTAAAAGTTCTTAATTTTGGCCAAAATCGGCAGAAAGTCCTTAGTTTTAATCATCTGAAATTTCTGTCTGTTTTTACGACTGCCATTTTGGGTGTGAATTAACATTTTGCAGGAATATTTTTGGCGATTCACTGACAAATAAGGCTATTTTTTTAATGGGTTCATGAGTTATAATTTGTTCCTATTTGTAATATAAATAATGGTGGGATACTCGAGTTTCTGAGCCGAGTTTCATTTTTTGTAATGAAGAGCTCTCAAACAATTTTCCGTTTTTAGGGATGTGAATTCTTTTATTAAACGTTTCTAAACTTGGCGATTATCAACATTTGGCGATTTTAAGATCGGTTTCTATTGAAAATTTTTAATTCCGAGATCTGGGAATTTTTTGACGATTTTTTTTAGAACATTCTAACATTGATAAATTTCATTAAAATAATGCTAATATATTGGAATTGTATTTAAGGAATGACATTAAAATGAAGCATTTTTATTTTTCACTGTCATATAAAGTTCCACTTTGGCCATATATTATACAATTTTTTTAAATCTGAAAAATAAGCAATGAATAATGCTATAAAGCACAGTTTACGAAACAGTTCTTAGCAAAAGCAAAATAGCTATGTAATTAATTAAAAATGTCTTTTTAATTTTTTTCATGGAAAAAATTTTTCCCATTTCTCAGAATGATCAGAATTCTCAGAATATGCATCATAAATGCATATTTCTCTATAAAATTAATTTCACACGTTTTTCCTCCGATTTTTTCTAAAAACATTTCTGGATTTTTGCTGTTACAGAATTGGTAATTTTTCTTTCATTTTGGAGAACATCTGAAAGAACAATGAAAACATAATAGTTGAATGTTTAACTTCTGATTCTAGAATCGCTTTTTTAACATTTTTATCTTCCCTTTATTTTCTCTACTTTTCACTAGATACAAGCATGGAAAATATCAAAAGTACTTCTAATCTTATCATATGGACAGGCATTATGGAAAGGAATTTTTTTTATTAATAAAGAAATTGAAAACTGACGATTCAAAAGATGAATCTAATATGTCTTAATGCATCATACAAAGAACTGGAGCTAGGCATTTTGCCACCTGATGCAGTCTCTGTGGATCCTAAATTCTGATGCCTGGTGCCTTTCTAAATTCTGCTTTCAATGCCTGCTCTAAATTCTAAAAGTTTTGCCATTTCTAGATTTTTTTGCTCAGTGGGTCCCTAAATTCTAAAAATTATGCCAAACCAGCTCTGTGACCAGACCTTACCATATGTATTTCATATTTCTTCTAAATGTTCGTATTACTAAAGAAATAAAATTAGCAGATTTTTCCATATATTCTAAATGCATTTAGTCTTTTAGAATAACAGAAGTCTTTAATTAAATCTAAAAAATTTAAAGTGAAAAGGAAACGTGTTGAAAAAAGAAACTAAATGTGTAAAGAGAAAGAAAATTATTCTTCAAAGATATGTACAGTTATTATTATGTAAATTACCCAGTTGTTTACAGTTTCAGCCTTTACTATAATTTCCCATTTCTATTTCCTCATCAGAATGCAAATCACTTAGACAGTTTTTAAACTGAGTTTTTTGGAGTGTAAGACGAGTGTTTCTGAACTCCACTTGCTCCTTGCATTAGTTCCTGTCAGCTTTGAGGATTGGTAATTATTAGTCTTTCCATTACTGCTGCTGACATTTGAGTTTATTATGACAATAGAGTTACTGAACCAGATTAAATTGTATATTTTTTTACTACTAGTCCATATTTTTAGTTTGAATTTCACTCTTCTTGTTTAATTATATCACCACAAACTGTATTTTATTTTGTTAGCATAAGAACATGCCTATTTGTTCCAAGTTCTTTTTGAATAAGAAGCTTATTTAAACCCGTTATTTAAATTTATTATCTGATTTATATTTACTTTCAGACATGGTGATAATTTCACATCTGTCTGGGGAGGGGGTCGGACTATTTAACTTTTACCAGATCAAGTAAACCCTCATGGGTAGTACATTGTGGAGAGGTTGGCAGTTAGGATATAAAACACGCATAAACTAATGAGAACATTGTATTGCATATTGAGACAATTTTCTAATTGTTAGAAAACATGCTTAAGGAGAAGGAAATCGATATAAATTAGCCAAAATGTCTGGGCGAGCCTTCAAATTAAAAAGACGCATAATTATTTTGTTTAGTTTTATGTTTTGTAGCTTTTAATGTATAATTATCCTAATAGTGTGTAAAAATCAATGTCATAAATTTCATGTATTTTTAACTGTGAAATTTTATGAGATTGTGATATTAATAGGGTTTTTTAACAAATATTAAAAAATAAATGTAATTTAATAGTGGCCATGTAAATCCATAATGACTAAGGTTATCTAATACCTAATTTAATTATAACTAAATGCATTCCCATTAAAATTATCTCTCTATATTAAAGCAAGTTATTGCCTTTCGTTATAACACTGAGCTAGGTGTTGGTCCCTAGGGACCAGCACTGTAATTTTTGTTTAGCTGGCGTCGGTCCGCGGGACCTACAGTATTAAAGTTAAAAAATAAGTATAGTTTTAAAGAAATGTGATCAAATGTAGTTTTAATGAAATTTATTGAAACATTCTAAACAAACATTCAGCTTAGCTTTACACATATTACAATACGAAACAACTATTTTGGTAACATTTTTGGCTATCTTGCATCCAAATAGTTTTGAATTGTCATCATAACATTTCGAGCAATACTTTTGGACTTCATGTGCGTCTCCTTCCTTTTTGTATAATTTATGATTAATTTCAGTCGGCACCGCTTGATCGCTTGCTGCCGGCTGAACGGAAAGGATATCAAATTCGGCGCCGGGCTCAACGTGTTAACCTTTACCGTGGTCACAAGGTAAAACACAAAAATATAAAAATTCATGTGAAATGTATTCTTTGCATCTAGTGAGACTTAATGCAAAACAACTTATCACCGTTAATGCTTTAGTGGCTTAACCTTAAAGTATATTACTGAGTTACAACCCCTACACTGTCTGACACTGTAAGTGTCGTAGCTTCGTGGAACTCTACATGAAGCTACGACACTAACAGCGCCAGAGAGATGTCAGCTAACTTTCAAAACTTACTTAACTGTGCTTACATCAGGCCTTTCAGGTTTGTTCTGATTAGCAGGTTTCTCTATAGAGAAGTAGGAGTGTTGACAACAGCCATTCTTTTGTTATGAATAATTCTGATTATGATTTTAATGCTCATTTTAACCAATGCTGCTTGACATAAAATCTACTTGCTATTTACTAAACTTCTAGACTGAGCAACTATGTGACAAAATGAGACATTAAAAAAAAAAAAAAAAAAAAAAAAAAAAAAAAAAAAAGCTAACTCTTAATAAAACGTAACTAAAATGTCACTTATTTTCTTTCAAATATGTCCAGTTATTATATGTGTAAAATATTTAATGCTACTTGATAAATTTCATAAAATTAATTTTATTCTCAAACGTATTAATATTTATGTTAATTATGTTTAATAATAATGCATCCTACACATGTTCAGGCATAGATATAATATTTTTAATTGAATTTACTCAGTTCCCATTTGCTCGTAGGTCCTTAATTTTTTTCATTAATGGTCCTTAAAAGTCCTTAAAGTACTTAATTTCCGTGTGCTGTGTACGAACCCTGAGGACTGTATGCCATAAGCTCACTATTTGCATCCCACCTACTCCCTCCTACAAAAGAGAGCGTTTACAATGGTGCAACACCAACACTCGACACAATCTCAGTGGGCTAATGCTCTTTTTATGGATGAGTCCAGATTCAGTCTACAACCCGATTCTCAGCGATTATTGAAATGGAGGGAACCTGAGACCTGATACCATTCCAGCAATATCATGGAAAGGGATCAATATGGTGGTGGAGAAGTAATAATCTGGGCGGGGATCATGTATACATGCCGCTCCATGTGTTTGATACAGGTTTCATGAAAGCCCAGAGGTACAGGCAGGAGATCCTAAGGCCTTATATGTGACTTTTCAGAGATGCTGTTTGCCATGAGTTCTTTTTTATGGACGACAATGCATGACCACATAGGGCCCACATGGTTGACAACTATCTGGAAAGCAAGTATATTTGCTGAATGGCTTTGCTAGCCAAATATCCTAACCTTAATCCTATCAAACATGTTTGGAATACTCCTGGGAGGGCTATTGCAATACGCCAACCCTCACTTAGAACCATTCATGAGTTAAAAACTCCTGTGGTGGAGGAGTAGGTGCAACTTCCACAAGCATTCTTGAACTTTCGTGTTAATAGCATATTCATTATGCATGCTGCTTATCTGTCAGAGTCAACCGCACACCATACTAGCCACATTTTTATTGCCATCTTTCAACCTCAACCACATTGGACTGTTGGCCATAACTTCTCATTTTCATTGTTGTTTTTTATTCATAATGCAACAAGCTATATCCATACCTAATTTCATTATTTCTCGAGAAAGTGTTCCATCTCTTAATTTTGTCCACCAGTGCAGTTATAGTTTTTTGGGGATTATATATATATATATGACATGATATGAATGATTTGGAACTTGGCTGTGGTGTAATAGATATGTAGCGAAGACACTTGGCAAGGCAGACATGATCAGATTCAAGGTAATTTTTTTATTGAGGAAAGTAATTCTGCATTCACAATATTTGATTCACATACTGACGGGCTTCTTATGAGCCCTTATTTTTGTTAGCTGAGAACATATTCAGTGAACAAAGAAGGTAGCTGAAAGTGTCTTGCCAGGAGGAAAGCTTAAGCAAAAGTATCGTAGCAATTCAGAGAAAGAAGAAAGGGAGTCAGAAGTTTCAGTTTGAGTTAAAAAAGTTTTACAATTTAATGGTTTACAATTTAGTGATTGGGCAAGCGGTATCTGCATTAAGCTTTACATAGGATTGCATGATTAATTTGAATTACTTAGTTTAGCTTATAGTGCTATTTTTAAGGTAGAGGAAGTCCCCAAATTAAATAAAAAATAAAAAAGGTTATAGCCAGTTAAAATTAGAAGTTTGCTGTTATATTTTTTATCTTACATATAGATACATATATATATGAAGTCATGTAATTGGCAAATTTTTGTGTTTTCAAGTGGTACTATAATTAATTTTAGCCTCAGCACAGCTAACATACACTACATGGATAGCCTGGAATTTTCTTGAAACACACTTGGGAAACCTGGCAGAGTCAGGGAATTTCATTCTACTGTTTGAGTGGTGACCTTGACATAACACTTCCACAGACTGTTGCTTAATTGGTACAGATGGGAAATTTTTTTATTTCTTCTCGCCACTAATCATCGAATCATTTGAATCAACATGAATTAAACTATTATGATTTGGATTTTTACAGACTTTACACATAAAGTTTGTCTTGCATGGTTCTTTATGCATAAAACATATCTTGCACAACTTCAATTCTTGAATTCTTTGATTATGTTTTGAGACACTCGTATTAAGGAATTTAGCACATTTGTCTAAAGAATGTTCTGTGTTACAGAGAATACAGGGTTTAATATTTTGAATTGATGCACTTAGAATTAAACTCTTAGGCTTTTATATCCTCTTGACTTGAACTACCGTAATTTCCGGAAGAAAGGCCTCATCAATGTAAACGCCGCAATAGATTAAATCGCACGTGACATCGCGATGGACCACATAGACGCAAAATCTTGACCTATGTCCTGATATATGATATACCAGTTAAGAAAAATGCATGACGCAAAATTATAACTCAAAAATAAATTAAAGGAAAAAATGTTGAAAATTTATTTACGTTCACGAATATACTTATATTTACCCACTAAAGAAGTCCATATTTGTCATACTCATACTATGTTATAAAAAATGTTGCAACATCGAGATATTAAATTTGGATGATAAAAGAAAATTTTAAATTTTACTTACAAAGGAATTATAGCAAACTGTACATCAAAATCTGATTCTTCACTATCTGAATTAGAAAGATTTAGTAAAATCCTGATCAAAGTCCAAGTCTTCCTGATCGTCACATTTATCCTCTTTACAGTCTCTTTAACTGAGGATATAATTTCAGCATCTTTGAACGCTGCTATTATTGATGATGTTTTCACTGATTTCCATGCACTTCCTACCCACTTTGCAATTTCTTCATAAGATGCTGTACGCATTTTGCCGCTTTTGGTGTATGTATGCAATCCTTCACACATCCAACACTCCCACCGCTTTCGGACTTCAGCTTTGAAGGATTTATAATCTGATAAATCTAATGGTTGTAAGATTTTTGTCAAACCACCAGGAATTATCACTATGGTCGTAGACTGTTTTTGACATTTGGTTTTCACTGACTCGAGTAAATGAGCATGCATAGAATCCCTTACACTGCCAAAAGCGTAGCTAGGGTTTTCAGTGCCCGTGGACAACTGAAGATTTTGCGCCCCTTTCTCTGTGCCAAGAACGGGAAAATTTCATTCTAAAATTTCGTAACATCAATTTGGCGCGCCCTGAATGCTGCGCCCGGAGTCAGATGTCCCCCCTTGCCCCACCCTACCTACGCCACTGTACACTGCCAAACGTTTTGTAGCCACTTGTGCATGATTGCTTTGCACATCCATCCATTCTCATTTGCACAAATAATTATGTCACTAGGAAAATCTCCCTTTGGAATAGTTTTCTTTAAAAAAAATCTCTCTTGTCAACCGTTAACTGGAATAGTTTTCTTTTAAAAATATTTTTATCTTGAAATTTTTTTTTGTCATCTGGCTTTACCTGACAGTACACCGTTTTTCTTTTCGTATTCTGCGACAGCAAGCCCTTAACTTCCCACAACCGGACAATTTTTGGAATAGTTTTTCATTTAAAAATGATCAGCGGCTTTAGCCTGTCATCATTTGCGGCACAAGCTAATGTAAATGATGTTTTCTCATGCCCCATCGTAAGTACAGATACAGTTTTTACACCAGTTTCATCATCAGTTCTGTTTGCAGTAGAATCGAAAGCTAGCGGTGTTTCATCCATATTTATTATCTGTGATGGAAGATTTTTTTTTGTCAATAATATCTGTCACATATTTTAGAAAAGATGCCTTTTTATCCTGACAGTACATTGGTAATTGTTACCCGACTGTTGTTCTAGTATGCACAGAAATATTTTTTCTTTTCGTAATTCTGCGACACCAGCAAGTCCCTCCTTTGAAATCATTCATTTTGCTCATTTGTTTTGCCATAAATTTTGCTTGTAAGCGAATTTTTACAGTCAGAGTTGCGATTCCCTTTCCTCGTTGCTCTTTTATCCAGTTTGCAACGACATCCTCTAGATTCGGCTGCCTTACAGTACCACTTCTTTTGGCTCTTTTCTGTCGTGGCATATTTTTAAGTTTTCTCCCCCCCCCCAGTTTTCCAACGTCGAATGCATCTCTCGTTCACTTAAACTCTTGAGCTGCTGCTCTATTTTCTATTTGTTCAGCACGTGAAATTACATTAAGCTTAAAACCAGCAGTATAGCTTCTGTGCCATTTTCAAAAATTGTTTGTTCCCTTCTTACTTAAATATCCAACAAGTACTTGTAGTACTCAAACTGATGGGATTTGTATCTGGTAGACTGACAAGATAAAATCAATTCATGCTAAAGGTGAAATATGTCAGAATTTGTTATTGCAACGTAAGTAAGTGGTGTCCACCGTTGAAAAAAATTGCAGTAGATTTACAATGGAAAAGGCAGGGGTGGGGAGAGGATGAGTCTTGGAAGATTCATCGAATGGCAGAGAAGAGAAACTATTCAAACTGATGAGAATGCTGATTTGAAAGAGGGAAGAATGTTATTGTTCTGAGATTCCCATTTAAGGTGAATAAGGCACGTAGGTACATTTACGGGAAAGAATGTAAACAAAATAAAGTTCGCAGAAAGCAATTGAGTGGTCTTTTGTGTGGGAACAGCACCAGTCTATGTACAATAACAAGGTCATCCAAACTATATACAATAACAAGGTCATTCAAACTATGCATGACATCATAGGAAATATTTTGTTTTACTGCACCTAAGCGCCGCATGGATAGAAACGGCACACCCACTGAAAATTTTAAGTTTTAAACATGTAAACAGCGCAGCGTTCTTCCGGAAATTACGGTAATATTTTTACTCAGCACTGGTTTTTGTTTAGTGTTTTTATACAAACTTTTTAATATAAAGTTCTGTTTTCCAAAAAACCTAAAAATTCATCTAAAGCAGGAACTTCTTTTTTATCATGAACTTATGTGTTTATTTTATCTATACTTTGGATCAATATATTCATTAATATGGCCTCAGATAAGTGACTGCGTTCAGATTCCAAAACTTTTAATGCACGCAAATTATGTTTTATATTATCCAATAATAGGCGTATTTTCCTGGGGGGAGGATTCATTGTTGATTTTTTTTTTTCATGATTTAGTATACTTTTTATGTGAGAATCAGCAATTGCTCTTTTATTTTCAAAATAAGTTTTAAGAAGTACTGTAATTGAATAACTGTAATAGGTCCTGTGTGTAACTGTATCCAGCCCTAATATGTCATTTTAACTGTGTGCTTCCCAGTATTTTCAAGAAATGGAGGATACTGGAAATTTTTCGGCGGTCAGGGGGGAGACTGTAACAGCCTGAAGAGAGCATCAGTTCTCATTTGTTAGTTCTGAGCTGACCTCAGAGTATTGAGATATATGTGAGAGCTTCACCTTTTAGATGCACTTCGTGTTGTATAGTGTTTATCGTTCTTAGTAGTTTGAAGTGTAACTATTGATTGTGCTCTGTGATATTGAGAAGAGCTGTACAAATGATTCTGTGGAAAGTTCAAGAACTGTAAAGTGTTTCTTTTGGAAAAATAAATTTTATCTAGCTGTTCATCGGTTATGTGTGCATTCAGTCTGCTAGGAACCTGTTTGCATGTAAAAATATATAAATTATGTGCGTGTAGATTATCCTTGTTAAATCTTTGAATTCAGTTTTACTTTGCCTTTTTTAAAAGTTTAATATTGTTGCAGTATTTTTTATTGTTTAGCTTGTATTTTTTGAATAATAGATTTTCCCATTGAATAAACACTGATTATAATAATGGGATAGTTGTCCAGTCAGTGGTATTTCTGTCATTTTTAAACAGAATGTTGGTGCAGTTTAAAAGATACGAGCAAGGGCTTACTCCAGAAATACCAACCTGCCTAAATGGTAGATTCTTCTTACCTTAGAAACAGCCATAAGTTAATTACTGGTAGTTCTAGTGTTAAATTAGAAACAGTTTATGAAATAAATGCTTTTTCTTGATACTTCTTTATATCTGATGTGTATCAATATTTGACATGTTTTTAAACTTATTTTTCTTGGTTTTAGGTGCTTGAGCTGTTCTTGCAGGTACCTAATATTTATGCGACAAGACCTTTTCGTGAAAAATATGAAAAGCAAGCCAGATCAAACATACATAATGAAATTGACAGCTTGAAAAAGGGACTATGATTGGAAATACTTTAAATCAAATTATGTGGATTTGCACATTAGTGCTAGCAATGGGGGCTTATAAAATAAGTGTCATAAGTAAAAATTGGAATGTATGAGTAAATATTTTATGAACTGAACATTTCTCCTTAGAATACTAAATTCTGGTTCTGTATTTAAAGGATTAGAATGAAAAGTGTAAAACTATAAACAATGATAAAGCAGATTGTTTATCTTATATACGAATGCAAATCAGTTTTGAAATGTAATTTTCATTATTAGCAGTGATGAAGTTCATACTGATCATCACTGGTTGCTTTTGCTTCTCAGCTTGATAGTAAGCTGGTTTAGTCCTTAATGCACCATTTATATTGCTATATTAAACTGTGGAATTTACTATGTAAAGTCTTTCTTATAATTCATTTTTATCAGCTATTTAATAATTAGTAACTGATATTAAAACTTTTTTTTTTTTGTATCTGTCTGAAAACAATTTAAAAAAAAAGCTTTTTAATTCCTAAAAGTGAGCCATCACTGATTCTAAATATTACATGCTTTTTAAGCATTTAACTTGCATTAATTTTTATGTGTATTTTAAAGAAACATTATGCAGTTAATTTAGTCTTAAACCAAAATTACTAAAGCTAAATCCTATAAAATCTTTTAAATATTTACAATGTGAAAAAACTGTAGGTGCAGAATTACATAAGTACAGAGCAAAATCCAAAATGTGGATATCCAGTATCCAAAACAACAGCACATACGGGGGGGGGGGGGAAAGGGTTATTGAATAATTAAATAAAAAAAAATTCCCATCCTTATAAAATTTAGGAATGGAAGAATATACTACTCAACTAAGGTAAGCAAGTGAGCCATTAAGTTCGATTTTTCTCCTGACCAAGATTCCTACATCATGTTGTCTGGGGTGTTTCACCATAATAATGGTATGTTGATTAGTATTGTATTGAAGATGTCTGGAATTACATTTCCGGGCCTTGATTGTGTGGTTGTGAGGGAAAAGGGCAGTCGTGTTACGCATTCACTTTGCGAGTCCTAAATTCTGCTGGCTTTCCAAATTCTAAAAATTTTGCCATTCCTCATTTTGCTTCTTGTCACTCTTCTAAATTCTAAAATGTTGTGGCCCCTAAATTCTGCTGCAAAAGTTGGCCGCACTGGCTTTGGTCCTGTTTGGAGGGTTAGCATTCTTCTAACCTAAATAACAAGCGAAGCCCCAAAATTGGCATGTCTACATGTCATCTTACGAGATTAACTACATTTAATGATCTGAAATCCAGAATCACACAAATCCTGATGATTCCGGACTTTGTACTGTATACAATGAAACCCTTCATAGTGATCACCTGCAGTCACCACTTCTGAAAATGACCTGTATGCCCAAACGTAATTTATAAAAAATCTGCCATGAATTTAAAATATGAATAAATTCCAGGTTAAAAAATTAAAAATAGATAGTGAAACCTGTTATAGTGACCACTTGAAACAACAACTTCTGAAAATGAGAGTACATCTGAGAACATAATTACTTGATGGCATTAAACATTACCTATAATCATGTTCTGTAAAGCAATCACTTTTGTAGAAGACCAAAATTCTGTAACACAAGTGGTCATCTTATTGAGCTTTTACTGTAAATCTGTGCAATTATCTGTAATGTTACTAGTCGGAGACATTCCATTTTAATATGTTATTTTTATGTAATTTTTATATGTTGAGTATTTGCAAATTACATTTTATTTCTATGTTATGTTGAAATGAATTAAAAATATTTTTTTTTTTCCCTGTAAAGTTTAAAATTTTATGTAAAAAGAAGTGTGTTTCCTTTCTGTCTATTGGTTGCACTATTGCCATACTAATACTGTAACTTGCACTTACCAAATTCTGAAAAGTAACTAATATTTATTTTCTTCCTTAAGTAAAATAATTAAACATTATTTGTTTCTAAAATGCTTTAAAATAAGAAGTAATGGGAGTTATATTTAATTGAGAGACAAAAACACGGTTTATATTATAAAAAATGGGAATAAACACACATACATAAATATTTTTTTTTTCTCTTTAACTAATTTGTATAAAGTGCAGGATCTATTTATTTAATTCAGAGTGCATAAATCTTGGTATTTTTCTTTTAGCTTTTAAGTACAAGCCAGGTATCTGACAGATTAGCATAGGTGATGTAGTTGGAGTGTACAAATTATATATATTTAAAACTTTAATTATAATTTTGAGAACAAAACATATTTTGATTATCAAGGTATCAGTGCTTTATAAAAAGTATTATATCATTTGAAACTTTTTAAAATTGGCTAATGATTAAATAATATTGTGAATTCAATTTCTTTAACTAATATTCAACAACCTTAAGTCTTGCCAAAATAAATTTTCACCTGTTATTAATAAAATACCCTAATTTTTCTTGCAATAAATCAGTAGATTTATTAAACCACACAAATTCAATAAAATTTTGATTATAGTCCTGGCAGGAAAACTTAAAGAACAATTATAAAAACTCGTGGAACTCAAATGATTTTGTAAATACGAACATGGAACTTGCACAAGTTCTTTTATCATGCCTAACATATCCTCAAAATAGGAAATTGCATATTTCTGTAAAAAATAAATAAGAATATAGAAATTGTGATGTAAAGTGGGATGCAGAAAGTTGGTATTACAACTTTTTAGAGATATATAGAAAAAATTTATAAGACGTTTGGTCACTCATGACCAAAATGTAAATGTTGCAGTTTTCTGTGTTGTGTATTAGATTGCCCAGGAGTTCTTGCAGTAATAAAATGTATCCATGATAAAACACTGCCTTGAACAAGCACTTGCAGAATGCTCGATGGGGGCAGCAGTGATTCTCATCAGTAGCTTTGTACAGTCTACAAATGTTCTTTCAGATTCTTTCATCCTCAAGATAATTGGACAGTTGTACAGCATGAAGGGGACAGGTATTATTGTCCTTCAGGGAAAAAATATTATTGACTGCAAACCTGAACAACATATTCCACCACGCTTATATTGATGCCTTTAATGAATATTTTTGAGGCTAATTGTCTGTATTTTATTCCCTCCACATAGCAGCACCTCTGGAATTCCTTTCTAAGCAAATATGAGATTCATCAATAAAATGAACTTAGCTCCAGTTTGTAAAGCTCCAATTATGATGATCTGTCCCCCATTGTGAAAGGCCATGTTTCACAATTCGACACAAATCGTATGTTACTTTGCACACAGTCTTTATATCCAGCCTGTCACTCACAGTATATCCAAACAACAGTATCTGTGCCCCTTGCAATATGGACTGGCATCACTTGTCTCTTTTTTTTTAGGAATCTTTTGCTAGATAATGGTCCTGAAAGTCTGTTGTGGTACATTTTTAACTTGTTACTTGCATATATCAGCAATTCAGTCATTTCCAGATTCTTGACATCATGCTTTTGGTTAGTTTTAGGTCTTTAGTAATGTGTTGGCATCTGTTCTGCTTGCATTCTCCTAACTGCATGCCACTTCTAACAACCTGCCAGATGCCTTCTCAGCAATATATTTCATCTACCACTTGTGAACATTTTATCCAACTGTTCATACGGTCCTTGAAATTAAATCAATTTGAAACATCCCCATCCACACATTAAAAGAATGGATGCAAAATTTTATATATTTTTGTTTAGCAAAGGTGAATACAATTAGACTGCCATGATAAACTTTGACCTTGAGCTGCCAGCCATCTTTCATTGGACTTAATTAACATATTGGAACAACTATAAAGCATTCTTTTATAGTTGTTCTTTTTAATTTTTTTATACCAGTGTATATCAATATTCCAAAATAACACTTTTCAGCATTGAAATTTTAACGTCAGGAAAGAAGATTGACAGAAAGGTAAAATTCTTAATAATATTTCAAAGAGAGAAAAATCATTATCATTTATTTAATAAAAGGTATATGTATCATGCAGCATGCTCATAAGTAAAGGAATTTTGTGTCATGCTGCATCCCCTCAAATCAGACAGCTGGAGGCTTTCTTTGCAGTTACCAATTGGTAATGTGCCACATGTATTTCATTGATGACAAATATACTGTCTGCCGTTAAAATTTCTATACCATTAAATAAGGCAGTTAGCAGAATCATGTTTATTTTACAAATGCATTATATTGGAAGGATGAAATAATTAAATTTTGTTCCTGTGCATCTACTCTTGTGAGTTAGTAGCTGTTACATGTTGGGCACAAACATATTTTGGGATGTTGCAGTCCATATTGTTTCATTTCCATGTCAGAATCCATCTGTTGAATTGCCTGGTAGGTACTGTCATGCCAGTATCTTTGCAGCTATTAACCAGACATTTTGAATTGGTAAGAGATGTGGAAAATGTGCCAGATGAGACAGGTGTCATTTTGAGGAAATACTGAACATTGTGGGCAGCAAGCAGTCTTGCACAGTCTCATTTAAAGATATAGCACTGCTATACATATTAAACCTTAGAACTTTAATAATGGCTAATCAAAGAACTAAAGCTAAGCAGGATAAGTACTTGATGGCACCTTGTACTATCAGTTCAGCTGGGTCGCTGCTTTTCAGATGGCACAGGCTATCCTTTCACCATCAATGGGGAATAGTTGATATACTATGTAATCGATTACGAAGTCTCAATGCTTCATTTACGTTTTATGTGGAATTGTGGTAAGGTTGTATTAGAAAATCTTACAGAAAGGAAAAGGGCCTACCTTCATATTTAATTATTTTTATTGTTATATCCAAGACTGGATGCAATGTGAATAAATCTCTATGATAAAGTAAGTGATTTCCATTATTCTAGTTAATTCATCGTTAGACTTTTACAAAAGTCTTAATAAACAGAAACTGGCAGAAAATTGCTGATACAATGATCAAAAGTATAGATATGCTTAGTTTACTTCTCTTGTTAATAAAATAATTATGCATGTAATGAGTATAAAAAGTAATGAACATTAATGCATGTTTTTATTGTTGTCTAAGCAGAAATAATGCATGATTATGAAATACATGTTAGAATCTAGTGTTTGTATATGTATGATTTAAAATAATAATTATGAATGGTAAAGCACATGAGAAAAAAGAATCCTTCAGTTTTATTTTATTTGAAAACTTCGTTATCGATAAGCAAAGCCCACTTGCTTATCGATGGTGAAGGACAGTCTATGCCATCTGAAAAAGCGGCGAAAGTTCACTTGGTATGGCTATGAATAATGCACAGTTGCCAACTTTCCCAATAAAATTGAGATATTCCTTTTTCCTCTTATCTCCTGGTAAATCTCCAAGTTTTTAATTTTTCTTTAGATTTTTTTTTTTTTTTTTTAAATAGAAGTCAACAAGAAATATCAATAACTCAATATCAAGGGAAATGCGAAAAAGATTTTGGTGGCAAGTTCTTAAGAAAACAGCTAAGGCAGAGCTTAAATTGCACCGAAGCCCAGCTCCGTTACTTCTTAGTTTTTAAGATAAATTCTAATTCTAGGTGGAGCGCACCGGAGCCCTAAATTAGAAGGCTTCAGATGCTGACATTTCCTGATGGATACTTTTATATAACTGAACAACAGTTTCAATAGAAATTTAATCTCGAAAATTTAATTTTAGCAATAAAATTACATTAAAAATTGCTTATTAAACTAATTTTTTCATGCATTCTATTTAATTTTAATCATTTAATAACTTTAATTATTTTAATGAATAATAAATTAATTATGAATTAAATAATTAATTAATATTAATTGTTAACATGAATAGTCACAACAATTAAATAATTTGATTATCATTAACTATTCAATTTTTAAAGTTATTAATGATTGTAATAGTCATTTTATCCGTTTATTTACTCTTGTTCCTCTTTTCTCCTTGTCTTCAGAGGGCTCTGGCACTTCTACTTTTAGAAATTAAGCCCTGAGCTAAGGCAACAATGTTGGCAGTCTATAATGAAACTAAAAAATTGTTTTTTTCTGAAGTGATTTTCAAGAGCACTTTTACTAATTAAATGTATTCAGTTTGAAATATTTTAATGTATTACAGAGATTTGTAGAGTACTTATGAAGATGTACCTACTATTTAATACAGAAATATTTGTATTAAATTTTTCTTCAAATTGTAAATGTTCATTTAAATTTCATCTTGTTTAAAAACATTTGGATAAAAAAATGATTTCTTTGCTTTTCAAATTCTCATCACCAACATAAAAAATAAATGTAAAATCAAATGAAATTAGCTGAAAAATCATAGCTTAGTACTCAATTTATTACTTCAAATTCTATATATCATATACATTAAAACATAACTTCCTGGATTAGGCATTTGATTTTAAATTATGTCAGTTTAAAGTACTTTTGAAGTTGCATCGATGCACAGCACTGAAACTTCTTAGTTTTTTATCTTGCAGTTAGCAGCCAAGAATACAAGTTTATAGTGTTCATTCCTTTTGTTGCTTTCACATTCAGGTATAACCTTCATGATGCTGTGAGCAAAAGAAAAAAATCACGCCATGCCAATGGTGCATCATTGTAGGTGCTGATTCCTAAGCTTTGTCATAAAATAAGTCAAAACAATAATTGCTTTGCTTATAAAATTTATTGCAGAGTCGTCATCATACATGCAGATACTTAGTGCTTTAAGAAACTCAGTTTCTTAATCCAGTGTACTTGATGTGGTTATATGATCTCTAATAATCAGACAAAATGTCAGTCGCCTTGCATACCAGTGAGTGTGGCTGTTGAGATCCAACATAATGCTCTGTGTGTCCCTCTTGGATTCGATGACTGCAAATTCTTATAATAGTCACTGGATCCTGACTAATGTCAGCAGCAGTTATGTAATATATTTATTTGTAGTCCTGGTAGGCTATATTTGTTCTGCAATCAAATTTTTTTTTTTACATGAAGCACAACACAAAAGGTAATAAATTAAGTTATTTTTGAGTGAAAAATCAGCATTTTGTTTTGCCTTTTCATTCTACTTTAGGGTGTCATTATTCATTACAGGTTTCTATTATCGGAACCTGTGGCTGAAACTGCAGCAAAAATGTACGTGCAAAAGGCCCATTTAATTGAAAACTGCACATAAATTGAGATTTCTTTAAATACACGTGAATTTATATAGTTCTAGCTTTAAAATCAGCGTTGAAATACTGGTTTAAGTTTTTAATTTTTAGCCCAAAGACGCAGTTTGCAAAGGAGGGCTATTAATTTTGTTTTGGCATTTTGCATCGTCCAATATAAAACAGTGTTTCACTTTTTAAACTTGCTACCAAACATTAAAGCCCTGCATTATATTTAAAGAAATTCCTCTCATTGTGAAAAAACAGCGGTACCTAGAGACATCAAATTTTTAATAACGTAGTTCTCCATTCGAATATGGGCATCTAGAAGCCCAAATTTGGAATTTGCTTTGTGTTCTATTTCATATTTTATCCATTCAGCAACTAATAGATACATAATTTAAAAGTCGGAATTTATATTAAATCCTTTGCAAACAAGAGAAGAGATCTGTTAGCATAATCATATGAACAATCTACAGCATGCCATCCACAATTGATTAATAAAATTGTCAAGCATAACATACACAAAAATGAGCTATAATCATGTCTAAAAGTTACCTAGGAAAGAAAAGTGTGTTACTCAGATAAACATATTCTATTATATAATACATCTTGCATTATATCAGTATTTTTTTTTTTTTTTTTGATTTTTGAGAGGAGGCATGTTTTCTGACCCCTACTTGTAGCTTCAAATCTATTGTTTCTATGCCATTCTCCAGCCTTTGTTACATACAAGACGGTAAAATTCACTGTTGAACAAGATATGCCTCCATTTCACTTTTGATTGCCATCAATTCAATATCTAGTTAGGTGCTTAATGAAACTTGCAGGGTCTAACTTCAGTTGCTCTAGGAACTAATAAGATGTTTGATTTGGAAGTGGATAATGGTTGATATGGAAATAATTAAGCTTCTTATATGCAGTAATGAGATCTGGATTTCCTTGCTACTTTAAATAGGACAGTCAAAATCCCTTTCATGCAGAGATGATCCTTCTACTCATAGAACTTTTGGATATTAACAAAGTACTTTTCACAAAAACTGAACTTATTCCACAATGATGTCTAACTGCATGTTGTCACATCTAATACATCTGCAACAGAACATTCAATTGTAGGTTAGGAAATACCTCACCTACAATCATGACTTGCTTCCAGTAACCATCACCTTTCACAAAATTAAAGCAATTTTTGATTGGAAAGCATTTTACTCACAACGAAGAACTTCAGCACAATAGCTGCACTTCTTAAAGCATAAATTATAAAAACGTATGAAGCATTTATAGCTCTGCTATAGTAAGTTCCTATGTGGAATAATATTCCAAAGTACAAATAATTTGTCCAGCTAATTTTTTTTAATCTTTTGTTAATAATTAAATGGAGACTATTTTCTGGATATGGCTATTAGTGAATTCCATATATTCATGTAAATTATCTATGAAATTTATTTAATGGGTATTCTGTTGAGCAATAATGTGGAAAATTTATAACTGAATATGATATAAAAGGTATTTAAAAATAAATAAAAACTCTAATCATTTTTATATACAATTTAATTTACATTATTTTTAATACTGATTTATCACATAAAGGTTTATAAAAATGAAAATTCACAATATGTATTTCAGCATCTTTTTTCATTAATCATTAAAACAATTATCCTTCCTTTTATTGCAATTATTTGTAATATGATAAGCTTAGGATTATGTATGTATTCAAAAGAAAATAAATATGTATTTAAAGCAGTGATTATACAGTATAAAAAACTGAAACTTATCTATGCATAGATACATACATATATATATTATAGGTATACATATGGCTTTAACAACTATAAGTTGCTTTCTATATCATCTTATATTTGATTGAACTGTCTTTAATTTCGATGATTCCACTGTTACACTAAGATGTTTGGCACATTGTAAGTGAGTTATGGCTGAATTGGAATGTCTTGCAAAAGATGGCTCCACAAATGAGCGCTTACACACAGCACATATCCTATTTCAGAAATGACAAAAACAGGTAAAAAAGATTTTGCATGAGTACAGAAAATTTAACAATGTAAATAATTTCAACATTTTACAAGGCTATTGACTTATACATACATATATATATATATATCAAATAAATAACAGCACATCAAATACAAGACACACTTATCAAATAAATAACAACACATCAAATAAAGACAATATTAATAATCTCAGAAAGTCACATTCATTAACCCCTTAACTGCCGCGGGCGTATATATACGCCTTGCTCAGCCGATGCGTTAACTGCCCCAGGCGTATATATACGTCCTTCCAAACTGCTATCATTTGCTTTGCGCTGCTACACCTAAAATTATTCGCAATGTTAACGCATCGGCTGCGCATCTGGGGGGCAGTTAACGCATCGGCTGAGCAAGGCGTATATATACGCCTGCGGCAGTTAAGGGGTTAATTAGCATACCATATATGATACACTTCAGTTTCCCCTCTGTGGACCTACTATGTCAAATGTGATATAATAGTAAAGTGGTGCTGGTGGCCCAGCATATCATATTTGATATACTCAAATGTAATGTTCTATTTTAAATGCATATAAATTACGTAAGAATGCTGTGAAGGAATCTTGATTGGTAGCCTTGTTGTTATGAATCCTACTTGTTATTTTATTCTATAAATGTAAAATGCGCAATCTTTACAATGCACATTTACAATTTAGAAATGTGTCATGCAGTGCAAGCAGATTAAAATTTTGTATGTGACTACAGCAATATGACATAATAGGTACTGATATTTGAATTCTTAAGTTTTTACTTTATTATTTTATGAAAATAATTTAAATATGTAAATTCCATCATTATTGCTAATATTGCACATTAATGTATTTTGATTTCAATTGTAAATACACTGCTGGCCACCCAAATTGCAACACCAAGAAAGACGAGAGATATCACAACAAACTTTATTTAGTAGATAACATGTTGACCAAGTATCAAATCATTAAATTTATATACTTCTGTGAAGTGTGGTTCCTTCCAGAATCAGCAGCCAGAGTAGCCACCATAGTTGGAGATCATCGCTGCCACACGCCTCGGCATTGATACAAAGAGACTTTGGACGTGTTCTTGGGGTACAGCAGACCAAACAGCTTTCACACGTTGCCAAAGTTGACCTGGTGTGGCAGCTTGGGATGTAATCTGGGTCAATCGTTCAGCAACCATGGACTGCACGTTTTCTATCAGGCGAAAGATCCGCAGAGTGAGCCGGCCAGGGGAAGGAATTCAATCTGGCAATTGATGAAGAACCCTTGGACAATGCGTGCACATGTGTGGTCGCGACCACACGTCGCACATTATCCTGTTGAAATATGGCTGCGGGCATGCCCTGAATGTAAGGACAGGACAACTGGCTCCAACACCTTGGAGATGTAGTTCTGGCTATTTTAAGTACCGGCAATGCATACTAGAGGAGTGCGACAGTGATATCCAATACCGCCCCATACCATAATACCCGGTGCGGGACTAGTGTGGTGGTGCATGACCCAGTTGTTCAGCATTCTCTCTCCACAGTGTCTCCAGACTCAAATCTGATCATCATGGTGTTGCAGACAGAAGCATGACTTGTCAGTAAAGACAATTTCATTCTATTCGCAATCCACATCCTTCTTTCATTGCACGAATGGTGGCAGAGACGTCTGTGGTTCTGTGTCAAGAGTAGACAAAGCAATGGACATCTTGCGGACAGACCACTCTGCTGTAAACGACGTCGAATGGTACGCGCTGACACTGGATGATGCGTTGCAGACTGAATGTGCTTTGTTTCGTGATGGGACTGAGTAATCCATCACTGCCATGTGCACAATGTTCCTGTCATCATGTCAAGTGATGCACTGAGGTGGATGCGATCGAACATGTCGGTCCGTCGTACCCTCCTGCATCCAACAGTCAAATATCCACATTACAGTTGTATGGTTACGTCCCAACACGACTACCGATTTCCCTGAAAGATAAACCCCACTCTCTGTAGGCCACTATCCTTCCTCTGTCGAAGTTGGATACTTGATCACAAGATGATCGCTGTTTACTACAAGGCAAATTTTTTTTTTTTTGAAAAAACCACAAGAAAAACACAATTGTCGAACTTGAAATCATCAAAAACTCCAAGCCTTAAATTGTGCTTTGAAGTGGCGCCACAGGCGCACATGATGTGCATCTGCACTGAAATTCTAATCATTTGCATATCTCACCTCCACTAATGCATATTGTAAATTTCATGTTATTTGCATGCTTCCTTCAGGGTGTTGCATTTACAGTGGCCATCAGTGTATTACGCTTTTCAGTTATATTATAAGAAATAGCAAGAATCCAAATAATTCAATGAAAGTAGATTTTTAAAGGAATCATTTTTGGATGTTAGGCTTAAATGCAAAACATGCTTAGGCACACAGTGATGTTCAGTGCTTCAAGGTCACCAGCACATGGGGAAACTTCACTGTCTCAATGTCAGGAGTGATGATGCTAATTAGTGATTTTTCAGATCTGTGTTTCTGATAGGTTGCCAAAGATATACATTTTTTTCTCTATCTTAATAATACAGAATACTCCTTTATATGTGACTCTGGCTCTATGTAGATGTCCAGGTGACTAATTACTCTCATCATCATTTCTCCGGACAACAATGGATACAGAAGAAAGTTGAAAACAAACATTTTAAATTTAACACTAATTGTCCTAATCGTAATTTCTCCAGACAACAATGGATACAGAAGAAAGTTGAAAACAAACATTTTTATTAGATCACCAGAGTACTTGTGTAATGACAAAAGACTCCTAGGCAAATTTAAAAGCTAGAAGAAATTAATATTGAGATGGTTAGCAGTTGCTGCCAAAATGAAGAACCCTGTTCTCATATGCACTGACTAATTTAAATCCTGCTGGGAACTAACAAAAGTAAACATGACAATAAAAGTAAAATGATAAGACAAGTGGTTAATGAATACAATACACATAATCAGTCAAATTTATGTCTCATTGCAAAAAGATTAAATAATAATATGCAAGATCTTATCAAAATGAGGTTATCAATAACTTATTTAATAAAAACTAAGTGTGACTAGCAAATATGTAAGAAGGAGGGAGACATGAAAATTATTAAAAACTGAATTAAGTTTAATAAAACAATACACATGATTACTGTTTGCTCAAAATGCAGCAAATATTTGCACAAGTTAAAAATGTTATATTATAAGAACTTGTTTTAATAATATAATTTGCTATTTTAGTTTAAAAGAAAACTTATGAAAAGTGTATGTCCAGAATACTGCAAAAATGATAAAAAGTAAAAATATGTCCTAAAAATATAACTTTTATGATCTCTGAGAAGTATGTATAAATATATATATATATATTTCTCACAGTTTGCAAAAATTATGTTATACACATGCTGTGCTCTTTATCTCATGGATCTCCAAACTAAAACCATGGTAATTTTTTCCTCTTGAGTTTCAACAAAAACATCACTGTACATGTTAAGCCTACCATTACTAGGACTTAGACAATAATTTCACGCAAAAACACACTCCATTAATTAAATGCATATAGCTCCAACTATGGCTTTCACATATACAGATTAATAAAAGTTTATATCAAAGGATAGTACAACACAAAGTCTGAGAACAGAACTTCACAGATTTTGGATTTGGGACTTTTCCATATACAAGATCATCAGTTTAAATCTAGTAAGATGACATGTAGAAATTATAAATTAAAAATATGAAATAATGAAACATTTATGACCTTCACAGAATGAAAAAAATAATTACATAAAAAAAAAAATCTGAAAGGTTTGAGATTTTAAATTACGTCCAAAGGGGCATTTTTTTAACATTTTGTGTGTTACATTTATTTATTAAATATCACGTTCTTTGCACTTGAAACCATAAAATTCAGTTCAACAGCAATATCGCAAAATAGTTTTTAAATGAGCATATATTTAGAATTTCCGATACAGAGATTCACGCGCTGGAGATAAAAATGTTTTGTCTGCACAACGTTGCCATGGCTCGCTTTGAAATCCTCGAGTTTGTTAACCAAAAATTCGTTAATGTTTTACAAAATATGAAACAAATATAATAAAATAAATTTCAAAGTTGGTCTTCCATATGCCCGTATTCACAGTAGGACTATGTCATTCAAAATTCGATGGTTCTATGTACCGTCGTTTTATCACAATGCGAGAAATATACATACATTTATGCATATTTTTCATTATTTAATTTCTTCAAATATAATGCAGGCCTCTAACATTTGGTGGCAACAGTTTGAAAAGTGAAACGGACATTTATAGTGATTCCACGCAAAATCTCAAAACGAAAACAATAGTCCTTCAGCTACAAAACCCCTTTGGATTAAAAAAAAACCCTCAACATTTATTTGTCTGCTTTATTAAACATTTCCTTCAATTTAAGTTGCTTCATAGTTTGTGCTAATATTTTCTCTTTATTTCTACACGTAAGACATAATTTTTTGTTCACTCTCAATGTTCGAATGTCCAAATCCTGTAACTGTCTTATCAAGATTTCCACTAAATTGTCAGTCAAAATTTTTTCTCTCTCAACAACCACTCTGTTACTTTCTTCATTACTAGTAGCCATTCTTTACTGGATTAAAAAAGCATGGTACAGGCACACCATCTGCTAGTTGATTGAGGATTCAAGCATTGTCATTGCAATCAAAAAAATTCTGTTACACCCTTTTCATTTATTATCATTTCTTCACAAATTCAACTTTCACTTTCTGTTTGTGATATATGAAAAACCTTCAAATTCATGGCCATCATCACAAAGCTTCACTAGCATCCGCTATATACTATACGCATTGTACTATGAGAATGGTGATAAAGGGATGTTGTCCTGCTAAATTTTGTCTTGCTTCTGTATCCTGCTGATGAAGCATTAAGAATGAATTATATTAGTTTAGTTACTTATTATACTCATGCATGTTTTCTGCACATATTTAAAGGTTATCTGAAACTTGAATAAATCAATTCCCACATATACTGAAGGCTTATCCAGAATCAGTGCTAGACATTGGGTGACCCAATGCAGTTTCACTAGGTCCTAAATTTGAATGCCAAGTATCTCTCTAAATTCTAAAAATTTTGCTGCCTCTAAATTTTACATTCCAGTGCCTTTCCTAAATTCTAAAGATCTTGCCATTCCTTAATTTTTTTGCTTGGTGCTTCTCTAAATTCTAAAAAAATTTCCCTCTCCTAAATTCTGCACCTGGTGCAGCCGCACCGGCCTTGCACTTATCTGAATAACAAATCGGTTATTCTCAATTCACAAAGCACTAGATGTAATCTTTTGACCTATGAACTTCATTTACAAAATCTATTTTTTGAATATGAAAAGAAATTTCTGTTAAAGTCCTTGGCACTTTGCAATAATTGCCAAGCGTAATATCGACATAATGGGTTATCATACTCTTTGATATTCAGTTACTCAATATAGAAGTGTTTAGACACTGCTGCATAAGTTATTTCTTTAGCTACTGTGTGTTTATAGTCATATACTAATGAAAGAAAAATATAATGATTTGTCAGATTAGTGTCAAAGATAAAAATTATTCAATAGGTTTTAAATAAATCAATGATGTTTTGATGTAGATGTTTTGGTTTGAGATACATATCAAGCAAATAGGCGGTTTTCAATAAAATACACACAGACAATGATTACTGTAGCCAAAACTAATTTCTGTCATCACACGATATGTTACTTGGGGCTCTGTGTCACTTAGCTGACACAAACATTAAACTGATAGCACGCTTAGCTGACAAGATATACATTTAGATAAAAACATGCAATGTTTTAATAAACTTATCAATTTTTTTCTGACAAAATGCAGTTTCCATAATATGCAACAAGAAGGTTTATGTGCAAGTATCACATTTAGGTCTTTAATGCTGCAGAGAGTACAGATTTTAAAATTGGACAGAAAAAGCTATCTTAGGTTGCTGTAGATTATGCACAAGTACAATAACCATAAAGCACTTAGAAGTTTAGACTAAATATATGCTACTACAGTCAAAAATCTTTAATCTGGACGTCCATAATCCGGAATGATCTGTAATCCGGACCTCAAAGCTACAAACTTTCTGCAATATGCACATATGCGTTAACGCATGCACGTTTAATGTATAACGGACGGTATAAGCTAAGCTAAAATTATCTAATTATCTATTTCAGTTAATATTGCAGATTGCGTTGTTCCTTAATCTTCTAATTGGATCAGGCTTATTATTTTTTGCAGACTGTTAGAGCAATTTTATAAAAGTAAGTTTGAACTTTTGATTATGTCAAAAAGAATTTCCGATTCTGGAGCTGCCAAAGGATTTACAAAGAGAAAGCATGTTTCAATGTCCATTAAACAAAAAGTGGAATTGCTGCAAAAAAGGGATAAAGGCATAAAGAAAGTGACAGAAAGGTGATTTGTTTCTCTAACCATTCCGAAATCTGTTTATGAATTTCATGCTGTTCTGTAGGGGACTTTGGGGGGGGGAAGTCGTGGCCCGCAATGAACTGGAAGTTCATCTGTCAGCACTATCCTAATCTTCAGGGCAGATGTTTTTATTTTATTCGGCTTATAATTCCTTACTAAATGCAGTGTTTCATCTCTGATGTACTCATCTTTGATATGATTTAAATAAATTTCCTCGTCATTATAAATATCACGGAAATACGACATCAAAATAGTTTTTTCAGGTTGCAATTTTCTAATTTCGACTATGAGTAATGTATATGCTTTACACCAAGCGTGCTTTGAAAGAAATGTTTAATAAAGTAAACAAATAAATATTCAGCTTCTTTTTTAAAAAAATTTGATACCCTTTAGATCATAATTGCTCTTTATTTCATAAATTACAGTTTCATATTTTTAATTTTAGAATTTCTGCATGCCATCTTACCGGATTTAAACTGATGATCTATAAACCGGAAAAACCGATAATCTGGAATCGCCGAAGTCCCGACGAGTCCGGATTAAAGACTTTTGACTATTTCTTTCTAAATTTAATCATAATTACACTTGCACATTTCTCCTGACGTGCCTTTTAAAATCTTATTTTTTAAAAAAATTTGACTTTACATACATGTTTATACATCAGTAGATGCTTATTTTAATCATCTTAAAAACAATGTAATCAAATATTCACAATTCTCACTCATATTAGGGTTTTCACTATGTTAAAAAATTACTCAAATGACATACCAATGCTCCAAGAAAATGAAACAACATACTTAGCTAAGTAGTATGCATGGAAAATACGAGTAGCTGAAAATAATGGAAAAGTTATCTTTATGCAGCATATACATTCACATGGGTATTTGTCAACGTGGGTTTTTAGCTATTCGTTTCATCCATATAGATATTTGTTGTGTAGGTAATCATCAAATTTTGGGGGGAAGAAGGGCTTTTGTGCAGAAGGCTTTTATCTGGCCGTCCATATTGATATGATATGCTAAAATTCTGCACACATTAAAATCAGAAGTGGGATCTCTAAGAATCAAATAATTGAATTTACTGATAATTGAGAAAATGATTTGGAAGTTAAACTTATGAAGAATTGGATGAGTTTTGAAACTCACAGAAGTATTAAATTATTGGACCAATGTGGACAATTTTATTAAAATATTGCTATATTTTTCTGTCTAAATGTACACATTGTCAGTTAAACACACTGTCACAACTAAGTATCCATGCCAGCTAAGTACTTAAAATCAAGTATGTTCAAATATTTAATTTATAAGAAATAAGAATTATGAAACATAGAAGAAAGTAATACAGTACAAAGTCCATAATCTGGACGTCCATTATCCGGAAAGATCTATAATCCGGACCTCAAAGCCACAAACTTATGCATGCGCGTTTGATGTGCGCATCCGCTATGCATGCGCAGAAAGCCAGTAAAGCATTTACCCATGTGCGTTTCCGATAGTGAAGAAAGTGACAGAGAGGTTATTGAAAATGAAAAAATTTCAATTGACAAGTTAGTCAGTATTCTCGACACAGCAATTACAGGACTTGAACAGTGGAACTTTGTAACTGAACAAGACATTATGTCTTTATAGAATTAAAGAGAAAGTATTAGCACCGAAAAACGAAGCAACTTAAACATTTTACATTGAAAGAAATGTTTAATAAAGTAAACAAATAAATATTAAGCTTTTTTTGTAAATTTTGTGACCCTTTAGATCATAATTGCTCTTTATTTCATAAATTACGGTTTCATATTTTTAACTGTATAATTTCTGCAAGCCATCTTACCAGATTTCAACTGATGATCTATAATCCGGAAAAACCCCTAATTTGGAATCACTGAAGTCCCGGCGAGTCCGGATTACGGACTTTGTACTGTATTTGAAAACTCATGCATCAAATCATTGAGTATAGAGTTATGCTAATAAATGATTAATTCTGTAGTAGGAAGGTGTTTTATTTAAGGCCAAAGTGAAATTAAAAATCAAGATTTTCCATATGCTTTATTAAGAAAAATATCAAATGTACTTGCAGAAAGCATACAAAAAAATTCTAAGGGGGAAAAAATTGCTGGTGATTTGGAGGTCCGGATTTTAGATCATTCTGGATATTGGACATCTAGATTTTAGACTTTGTACTTATTTTCCCTGTTAGGCGACATATGCCCCATTTTTATGCCCTATGAAATAATTCTGCAAACTATAAAATTTTGCTTCTTATTATAATATACAGTCAAAAGTCGTTAATTCGGACACCCATAATCCGGAATGATCTATAATCCGGACCTCAAAGCTACAAACTTCTTGCGCATGCGTCGCGTTGACGCATGCGCGTAAGACCTTTACCGCTGCGAATTTGCGTGTGCGCGTGCGCAAAATACGTTTACGCATGCGCGTTTAATGTATAACGGACGGGATAAGCTAAGCTAAAATTATCTAATTATCTATTTCAGTTAATGTTTCAGATTGCGTTGTTCCTTAATGTTCGAGTTGGATCCGGATTATTATTTTTTGCAGACTGTTAGAGCAATTTTATAAAAGTAAGCTTGAACTTTCGATTATGTCAAATAGAATTTCCGATATATATTTACTAATATGTAAAGGATATACAAAGCGCAAGTATCTTTCGGAGTCCATTAAACAAAAAATGGAATTGCTGCAAAAAATGGATAAAGGCATATTCTTTGTTTATCTAACTTAAACGTTTGTTTATCTAAACTTTGTTTATCTTTAACGCTGCGGCGGCGTGCAACGAATTGGAAGTTGATTTATCAGCACTATCCTTATCTTAAGAGCAGATGTTTTTATTTTATTTGGCTTATAATTGCTTACTCAATGTAGTATTTCATCTCGATGTACTCCGTCTTTGATATGATTTAAATCAAATGCCTCGTCATTATAATTCGCTTCCGATAGCGAAGAAAGTGACAGAGGTTATTGAAAGCGAAAAAATTTCGATTGACAAATTAGTCGTTATTCTCGACACAGCAATTATAGGACTTGAACAGCGGAACTTCGTAACTGAACAAGAAATTATGTCTGTTTATAGAATTAAAGAGAATGCATTATCACATAAAAACGAAGCAACTGAAACAACTTACATTGAAAGAAATGTTTAATAAAGTAAACAAATAAATATTAAGCTTTTTTTTGTAAATTTTGATACCCTTTAGATCATAATTGTTCTTCATTTCGTAAACTACGGTTTCATATTTTTACTTTTATAATTTCAGCATGCCATTTTACCAGATTTAAACTGATGATCTATAATCCGGAAAAATCGATAATCCGGAATCGCCGAAGTCCCGATGAGTCCGGATTAACGACTTTTGACTGTACTAAAAATAAAAATATTTAGCACTATATAAATTCACCTGTCCTCAGTCATCAATACAGAAGAACTTTCCATGTGAATTTTTGAGAATTTGACAAGCAAATTTTCTCCCCGAGAAAGAGCACTCTGAAGTCTGCAACAATATCGTTGGTGCAATCTAGAACGCAGAGCTTTGATCAAAAACTGGTCTAAAATTGCTATTGACCAGTGTGATGGAATAAGATGAAGAACCTAGTTACATAAAATAGAAAACAATATATATATATGATGAAGAGCACAATATATAAAATCCAGTTTAAACAAAGAAATATATGTATGAAAATATAGAAGCTTAAGAACCCATTAGCAAACTCTCAAATGTGAACAATGGCACGCAGTTAGTTGCATTAGAAATTTTTTAATAGATTTGGACATTACTGGAGATGAATTCATATTCAGTATTGAAGCAATATATTACAATCCACTAAAAAATTCTTTTTTAACTGCAGTCACATAAATCTTTTGTCAGAAGTCACTAGTTTTATACCTCTAATTGAAGAATCATTCTGTGCTGTTTTAATCAAGCAAGACTCCAGTAATTAGAATTTTGATAATTTTACATTAATGAAGTAGCAGCCAAAATATGTGCACATGCACCAAAAATTTACCTCACCCTGTGAAGTGTACCAAATATTGTAATTCGAAATGTTTTAACTCAGACATGAAATAAATCTTATGAATATTTAAATGCTATCGTTTTGTTAGATTTTGATGAGGAAACCAAGATAGATTTTAGTTAGCAGCTGTAAAATAATGTGTCTATCATTAAATTCTTTAGCCATAACGTTAATTTCATACTACTATTTATATTAATGTTAATATAAATAGTAGTAGTATTACTACTATTTATATTAAAAATTTTACTACTATTTATATTAGTGTTAATTTCATACTACTATTTATATTAAAGTTTTAAAAGCTGTTTAAATAGTAGTAGTATTTTACTACTACTAAGTAGTAATACTACTACTACTATTTAGTAGTATTACTAATAGTAACTAGTATAGTATAATTTAGTATAGTAGTAGTATTACTACTACTATATTAAAAATTTTCTATTATTTATATTAGTGTTAATTTCATATTACTATTTATATTGTACCAGAAACTTATATTTTTATTACTACTAGAACTAAAAATACTTTTTTTTGCAATATCAAATGACAGTTTCTAAATAAAGTAATAATTTTCTTGCAAATATTAAAGAAGAAAAAATTAGAATAATAAAACCCATGTAACAGATCAGAAAATAATGATTCTGTATAATTTGAAGAAGTACTTAAACTAGAACATGCTAAAATTTTAAAGCAAAAACTGTTAGAGTAATGTTTTTGTACACTTTTTATACAGAATTTAAATGTATTTTTAATTTATATTTTTTAGATAAAGTTAAAAATTAATTTCTTATATATATTTTTAATTTTTTCTTTTCCTCAAATCTAATGGCTTTTATGTAAACTCGAAAGATTCACACAACTCAGTCTCAAGCAGTGAGGGATTTTGATCTTTTACTGTACAATCTTATGAATATTATGAATATATAAACACTATGAAATTCAAAAATGCAACGAATAAATTACAATATAATTTTTCCATAAAAATGTGTAATAAAAGAGAAAATATAAATAATTCAATATGTATATTTACATTCTAGCTTCAAATCTTTATTAGTATTTTATAATTAAAACAGTCAAAAGTTTCATAAAAATCTACCTTTGTAACATCAAATTCTGCTAATTCACTGTTTAAAAGCTGGATAGCTGCAGGTAGCATTTCTTCTTTGTAATGCTCACTAAAACAATTAAAAAAAGTGGTTTTAAATGAATGATCCTTTAAGAAATATACACTCTCCCCCCCCAAAAAAAAAAAGAGAAAGAGAAGGAAACACTTTAAAAAAAATCCGATCATCTCAAAATTTTGTAAGCAAATTTCGTCATGCCCAGTATGCAAATGATTAAATTTTCAAGGCCAATGTATGTTAACTTCAGTCACAGTGCATGTTTCTACTGTGCTTCTAGTATCCCGTAAAACAAGTAACTTTTGTAGACTTTATCTTTTCTCATTGCTAGTGTTGCAGTTCTCTGGAGACACAGCTGGTAATGCCATCATGTTGAAGGTTTTATAAACAATTGGACAACTTTAAATGTGGTCGCCCACCAGCGGCCGAGCAGTAAAGTCGCTGAACACTCGTAGTTCGGTCCGGGATCACGGATCACGGAAGATCCGGGATCAAGGAAGTACAGACTGTGGTTGACAGTCAGACGGCCATAACCTAAATTTTTTAGTCCACTATATGCCTTCCAGCAGTATGAAACCACAGTTGATCCCGGCAACACCCATTCAACTATCACTCTCTCCAAACTCATCCTTTGATGTATTCTGTCAACCTCTCTAAAAAACATCTATTCGTTCCTCTTTCTATTACTAGCAATTACCCAATGACCGTCCACAGGCGCTTTCCTCTTCCATACTTCCTTTTTCCGAACTTACTGTCATCTACTTTCAACTATCACTCCTTCATCACCAATTGGAACACTATCATTTATCACAGTCGTCATATCCGAGGTTTGAATCCCGCGAATGGGCTGGCTGCATGGGTGTTTTCGTGGTTTTCCCCATGTGTAACGTGTATACGAGCCAGTTTCCCTTAGAAAGTCCTCCACGAAGGCATCCCGCCCCTTAGGCAGATAGCCCCCGAGGCTTTGCCATAATTAAATAACCTAACCTAACCTTAAATGTGGTCACATATTAGGGATGCATTAAGTGGGCTGGTCATGCCAAGCAATAGGCCATAGGGACACAGATGTGCAAAAGTGCTGGAACCAATGGCTGCCATATGGTACTCATTGACTGAACCAAGACTCTGGAAAGTGAAGGTGCATAAATGGATAAAAGACAAGATTGAATGACTGTGAAACAGGCCTGGACTGCCCAATGGCATCATTATCTGTTATCCAACATGCACAGCTTCTTCCATACCATTGGTGCCACTTTCCACTATCTCACGGCACTTGCCTGAGGTGGGGTTGCGCTTACATGAGTCTTTAAGATATCTGCTTTTACCCTGCAATATCAATACAGTCTTCTGGAATGGTGTCACAGCCGATCATCATAGCTGCCAGGCAGATGGTATTACATAGTATTCAGCTATGTCAGTCTTGGAGCAGACAATTACTGGGTCCCTGTGTGGAGGCTAACAGCAATTGTTTTACAGAGGTACACAGCCATTATCTCTGGTGTGATGGTGTGACTTATGACAGCAGGTCGACCCTACGACTCTGGTCATCCTGCATGCAGCTTTAACAGCTCAACAATATGTTAATGACATCCTGCGGCCATTTGCATTCCCTTCACGGCAAGTCATCCTAAAACCATTTTCCAACAGGATAATGCTAGGCCCCCTATATGGCTCACATATCTCTGGATTGTCTCCGAGCTGTGTTTATTCTTCCTTGATCAGCAAGGTCACCAGATCTTTCACCAATCGAATACGCAAGGGATATGGTCAGCCACCAGATTTTCGGCAGTTCAAAATGTCGTAGATCTGGAGCAATAATTGAGGCTGGCAGAATATATCAAAAGATTATCACTCTACTAAGGGGGAACCTACTATGATTGTGTGTCCTTCTATTTCATTAACAATGAAATTGTTTACAGCTCTATCTATTTGGCAGATCAGTGCACTAAGTTTAAGCCTTAGATACAAGAATATCTATCCACTCCAATGATCCACAATAATATTTGTCTTACCTCAATGTTTACTAGCAATGTATCGCTCCCAGCAGGCCTTTACTAATTACAGATTTGAACATTCAACATGCAATTGCTAGCAACTATGGCACTGAATCCTATGGCACTGAATTTTTAATCATTTCATTACCTGTGTATGAGCTTTATGCATAATTTCAATAAAAACAGTCACTTTCTTCACAATGCTTTCCCCCCTTCTCTGCAAAAAAGAGTGTATATAACCTAAATTGTTAAAAAATTCTTCTATAATTAAACAATCTCCGTTAATATGCTTCTCTTTTGCTTACATTACTCTTTTTTACAATTCACAAATGGATTTCAGAGTTCAAATACACTTCCTAACAAAGTTTTTTTACATGACTGAAAAAAAGAGTCAGTTTTCTTATGTTATGAGTCAATTTTCATATGGTGTTGAGGATTTAGATTAAGAAAATATTTCATTGCTCTCCATTTTATAGTAAATCCTAAAACTCCTTTCGTACTTGTATTGCTAACAAAAATTACATACTTTCTTGCATTAACATAATTGCTTGCATCGGCAACAAGAATCATTATAATATAAAATATACTATCAACTACCTCATAAATTATTTGATTATGAGATTTAGTTTAGACAAAATTTGTGGGAACACTTTTTGCGTATTTTCAGCTTCCATCATTATGGAAACAATGCAACCAAGAATTTTGAATGGCATTCAAAAACTACTAATTTTGACAAAATAAATGTAGCTAAATTTCAAGTACATCAAAATAATTGGTCAGAAGAAAACGCATCAGTCAGGAAGAATTCTATTTTTATAGGTACTATAGTTGGAAATACCCTATATTTTGTAAACATTAATGCTCACATACATAACAATCATAAAATTTTTCAAATGAAGAAAAGTATTTTCAGATTCTAATGTAAAAATCTGTACTAAATACACATTTCCCTGTCTTTTTCAATCATTCTGAACACACTCCCTTAGCATGGCCTTCAGATACTTTTCCCTGCTTTGCATATCAAATTAAGCCTAATAAATAACTTTATTCATTGTTTCCCAAATTTAGAAAATCTTACAAGAGAAAAACTTTCATCAATCAATAAACCAATAAAATAGTTGCAGAATGAAAGGCTTTTGGTAAATTGGAACGTGAATTTATAAAAATAATGAAGTAGAAAAATATTGAAAACTGGCTTAAGAACTCCGCAATAGTAACCACTAGCTACAATGGAGGAAGTCTCACAAAATTCCCTTTCTACATTCTCACCAAGAATATTCCACTGAGAACTCAGGAGCTTTGAAGGTTGAATAAAGTGAGGGATTCCATCAAAATACTGAAGAGATGGAACAGAGATAATACAGTAAATAAGACCCTAACATGATGATCAAGTACAACTGCTTTACGATCTTGCAGAACTGAGTATACTTGAAAATAATTTGCAGGATTTTCTAGCACATTACAAAATGTTTTGAACTAGAATAATGTCCCAAGCTTTGCTACAAACTAAAGAAAAATCATTTTCCCTCACAACCCCAAATTATTTAAAATGTTTGATACACTTAAGTTGCTGGTCACTAACTGATACACTAGATACTTTGATACACTAGATGGCATCACTAACTATGAATATTGTTTAGGTCATGAGTACCTACTGGTATTTCTTTACACAGGTGGAGTCAAGTCACACTGTTCATATATTCTTCAGTATTTCACACTATTATTGTACATGTTCAAATTATTGGATGGCAAAAGTGAATATGAATATTCTGGTGGGTCAAATTGAGTGAGCTTTAGGTGTTAGTGAAAATGAATCATATAGCAATGGCTATTGCAAAGACTGGCGTTCCCTTATATGTCGTACTGTGTTTTCATATGTATCACATCCCCACGCCATATAAATTGCTTACAGATATTAAATAAAATATGATTAAAAGAGTTGCACTTTTCCAGAATGGCACCATCAGAATGATATTCCAAAGATTTTTGGGCATATAAGTAATATATTTTAGACAGAGTAGCTAATATTTTTGCCCCTTTTAAAATTTAATAAAATTGTTGATATTTACAAAAATAGTTTTGTTTATTCTGAGTTTTCATTTCAAGAGCAGTTATTAACTGAAATTTAATAAAGTGCGGAAAGAAATGCAACTTAGCATGGAATGTAGAATAGAGTAGCTAAAAGTTAAATATGGAGATATTGTTCTAAATGGAATCATAGACATGGGAGCACAAATTTCAGTAATCTACAAGAGATTGGTAGATAACATAATTTGCGAAGCAAAATAGAGATATCTTCTGCTTTTGGTGAAAATGAAGTTACTCCACTAAAAATTTCCCAGATGAAAGATGATCTTTATGGTAGAGTGCCCTTTACCTGTGCTGTTTCAAAAAAGCTAGTTACTGACTTGTTACTGAAATCTTCAGCTTATGAAATGCTCTGCGAAAATACTGAACTGTGTCATAGTGATTGTCAGTGGTATGCATCTTACTTAGACTGTGATGAATCAGACAACAAACCCTCACCAGCTGAAAACAATACTTTACATTTAGATGTAGTTAATCAGATTTCCCAAGGAGACACATAAACCGTGAAAACAAGAAACCAAATAAGACTATAATTTAGGGCACTTCAAGAACAAGATCAGACTCTGAAAAAGTGTTTTGAATGGGCGAATAAGAATGAAAATTCATATGCTTTTGATAATGGCATATTACTTCACTCCGAATATATTTGTGGTGAATGCATTAAGCAAACAGTGTTATCTTTACAAAAAAGAAAGGAAGTTCTGAGAATGACACATGAAATCCCTCTTGCTGGACACCTTGGTGAGAAAAAGAAAATTCAACGAATCAAGTACTCATTATTTTAGCCTACTATTAAGCAAGATGTTAAAAAGTTCTGCAAAAGTTGTAAAGAATGCAATTGAGAAGGACAATAATATATAAAAATAGAATCCCAATTCAACCTTTTGTTAGAGCAGGAACACCCTTTGAAGTAAGGAGCATGGATAGTATCAGACCATTAGAACCTCCATCCGGAAGAGCTCATTAGTTTGT